TGTTGGAGGCAGTAGTGCTGGGACTATGCCAGTTTCAACTACTTCAACTGGAACTCAAGTAAATTTAATATAAAAATTATTGTAAGATATTAAAATGGGATATTGCAGAACAGGAGGAAAGAGATAAGGCCCTTCAGATTGCACAGAGTTGCCATGCATTCTGTCCCTTATTTCATTCAGCAGTGTTTTGGTTAAACATGAAAATTTCATGCAGCAGATATTGCTAGTGTTTAATCAAAACAAATTACTATAATGGTACCAAACTGCATGGTCATATTTGTTAGGTTTGATTCTTGGCTTATTTGATGGCTTCTGTTACTGAGCTTTTGTGGTTTTTCTCAGTCCTTCTAGGAAGATGCTAGGGTAATACCAGAATAGACCACAGTTCCTTAATTTTCAGTTTACTGTTCATGGTCATCATCCCATCCATTGGGTTTCGGAAAGTGTTGTTATGCAGTTTAAGAAACAAGTTGAGAGAGATGCAGAAATTTTGCACATATATAATTTTAAAAGTTGGTTGTGACAGTTTTATTTTTTAGATGTTAGATCTTATTGTTAATTCTCTAGATAAAAGTAACAATTTCTTTTCTCCTACATTCCTCTCCCAAAATGGTATTCATCATTAAGTAACAATGAGAATTGTGTCATGTGATTTATGCTCATTTCTTGCAACCTGGAATTGTGTGCCATGTACCCCAAACACTTTTTTTAAGACTACACTCCTGCTTTTTCCTCCAGTATAAAAAAGTACTGGGTGCAGTGATACTAGTGAACAATGTTGCTAATAGCTCATGATCAATGGTGGTACTGGTGAAGTGTCAGGACATATACAACTTCTGTGATATGGCCCATTGCAGAGTCTGCAAGGAGCAGAACCAAGGGACCTGTGGAACAAAACCTTGGGAAGCTTTTTCTTTACAGAAAAATACAGACTAAGGAACAGCTGCACAGTATAGTAACCGTGTACTATTAACAGATCGAGACACAGCAAGGCAGCCTGACTAAACCGCTCACCAGTGTTCAATGGCAGGCTATGTATTAATGTTATCTATACTTCTAGTTCCATCAGTGAGCTCCCCCCTCCCCAGGACACCGCAGACAAAGAGGCATAAGTCACTGGCTATTTTATAAGATATACAGGCATTAAAAACAAGAAAATAATATGTTAAACATTGTAAAACTCTACATTTATAAATTATTATTTTATTAATGAAATCTTCTTGGGCTATCTACCATGTCAGTTGGTTAAAAATCATAGGTGTTTTAGGAACCATCCTATATATATATATATGTAGCCTGTGTTCAAATCTGAGCACGTAGCATATATGTCCTGGATAAAGCCACATGATATATGGATTGGATGATAACAGAAGCTGTTTATATCAGACTTCACTCTTGAAACCTTAATAGGGATGGAGGGATGGTGGCTTCACTCTGTCAGCCTTATATACCCAGCAATTAACATGCTCAAGCAATTCAGCGATAGGACAATCTGGAAGCAAGACTAAGCTAAGCAAGCACTTGACTCTGCCCACTAGAGATGGGCTGTGGCGGTCTGGATACAGTTACATCACAGCTGTGGTGATGGGTATAGAGGTGGTCCCTGATATTAAGATTTCTTTGAAGTTTATTGCCTAATATTATTGAGGTGATTAAATCAAGGGTCAAAAAGGTGACATGTACCACCTATGATGGATATGAAAAATGCATACAATATCTCAAGGAAAGAGACCACTTAGGAGGCCTTCTTCTTTGTGTAGTCTATTGTCTGTTTTAAACAGGCCATTGATATGAAGACCTAATGGATGAATAATGTCAAAATGGATCTTAATAAAATTACATATTAGGGCGTGAATTTGATTGAAATAGTTCATAATAGGGTCTAATGGTGATTTTGTGAACATGACAATGAACCTTTAGACTCCACAAAAGCTTCTTGACAAGTTGAGCAACTATAAATTTTTGAAGGAAGACCATGCACCATCTAGTTAATTAAGTACCTTATTTTATATTTGGTTTAGATTTGAGTAGGAAGTTTTGGGTAAGAAAATTGTAGGTTTAAATGCTCATACAGCATAATTCAATTTACCTTTGGTGATAAGCTGAAAAGTGAAGGCGATGGCCAGCAGAGGCTATCTACAGCTTATCATGGTCTATCAATTTTGGTATTTATTACACTTATGAAGAATTGTTTTTGTGAGAGGTATGTTTCAAACCACATTTTCCAATCTCTTAAGTTACTAAGCTTAGTTATTATAAGCATGAGAGACAGTCCAAATATAGGGCCTTTTATTTATTATTTATCACAAGAATCATGTGTAAAATGTACACACAAGTATTTTTTGCACCATTTACTAATGCAGCTGTTTTATATATAATACCTAATTTTGTCATTAACTGTGCAAGCACACATGAAAGAAAATGAAGGTACAGATATTTTTAGCTTCTCATCATTCACCTCACAGGGTGCTGCGATGACCTTTCCCTATCTTTTACATATGTTCAACAAATCAACTAATATTGTAAACAGGTAGAGGATCAGGAAGCAAATACTTTTCTTGACAAAGGTGCACTACTGCTGTCACATCCTGTTGAAGGACATTGCCATATGAATAGAATATTAATGTGTTTGCTGTTTGCATCACAGATTAAAAAAATATATTAAGTTTCTAGTTGTCTAATGATTACATAAGAAAAAACAGATCTGAGATCAGCATGAATGCAGTAGCTGATAAGGTGAAAGGGAATGACAAGTTCTTACCATGCATAGTGAATGCTTTCTAGCACTGTGTGTCTGTGTACTGGTACATTGGTGCCCACAGGATAGCAGCAGCTTAACAACAGACATTGACGGCATACAATTCCTGATTGGCAGTCATGGAGGACAAAACATTTAGTATTTTGGGTACTTGTGGATTATCGGGACACATCACTTTAAAAATAGGTTAGGGTAGGTTAGGTTAGGTTAGGTTAGGTTAGGTTAGGTTAGGTTAGGTTAGGTTAGGTTAGGTTAGGTTAATGTGTGCGGATAAATGACATATACTTGAAAGTTATTATATTTTATTTCAATAAATGACAACTAACCTACCCTAACCTAACCTAACCTATTTTTAAAGCGATGTGTCCCAATAACCCACAAGTACTGTATTTTGTTACATGCAGTGAGTAAATAATTCATAAACATGTGCTTTGCATTTTCAAGCAAAGTTCATACAAATCGTACTATATTACAGGTTGTGTCCAGTGCCATTAAACCACAATTTGTGACAACAAACACACAGTTCATTCCTACTTTGGCCCCAAAGTTGGCTATGGCTCCTATTGTTGCATCATCTACAATCACTCCAGCATCTGTGGTTACTACCACCACCAGCTCTTCAAAACTTGTGCCTGCAACTCTGGATCAACAACAGTCACAGCAGCAGCAACAACCACACTTTGTAATTCAGGCACCACGAACACCAGCAGGCTCCTCTGCTACCATAGTTCCTGTTTCTGTAGGAGGTCCTGGTATGGGGAAACATACCTTTGCTTATTTGGGAACTATCATCAAGCCAGGAATGGGAGTTGGCAAACCAGGTGAAAGCCCTCAACTTGTACTGCCAACAGCAGGATTGGTTCCAGCAACTAATCAGAAGCTTTTGTTGGCTCCTGTCCCAGTCCTTCCCCAGTTAGCACCAGCACCGCCTCCCATTGGGAACACCACTATATCATCATCATCTCAACAACCAAAAGTGACTAGTCTCCTTGTACCTATGACAATCCCAGCAACAGTTGGGGGAGGCAAGAGCGGCATGATAAATCTCAAGATCTCAAATGGACAGATTCATACTGAAGGGAAAGGATCTGTTACCGGTAAGTTTCGATCTTATTATTAAAATCCACGGTTTATTTTATTGCATTCTTTATTTGATAACAATAAATAAGGCCTTGCAAATATATTCAGACAGAACAGTAAATATTTAATATTTTTCAATGTTCTTTCCAGTGCTCAGAGAAGCAAAGCCATTAACAGGTAATGTAGGACAGCTACCTCCCCTACAACCTATTTCCAAATATTCAAATACAAAGACAACTAGTATAAAGGCTAATGGGTTACTACTGCCGGATTCAACTACTCTGACCCCACTGAAAGATGCTTCTACTTCTATGTCAGCAACACCAAAGAAACTGGCTACTGATGATGAAAGCAGCATCAGGAGAAATTCTGCTATTAATAACAGTAATGCTAATAACAACAAGAGCAGCAGTGGCAACACCAACAACACTAGTAGTAGTTCAGATGACAAGAGGAAGTTAAATCAAGATTTGAACAGGTGTCTGAAAGAAACTGTAGATGCCATTTTTTCACCAAACAGTCCAACCCTCGTGAAGGATAACGGAGATAAAGTGAACTCTACTGATGATGAAGTGACGCTAATTAAAGTGAATCCATTGAAGGAAGAGTCTGCTGTAAAAGAGAAAATGAAAAAGGAGCTTCCAGAAGATGATGTCAAGATTGAAATTATAAAGCAAGATATAAAGGCTGAACAAACCGATACAAATGCTGAAGATTTTGATCCAATGAAAGTTCTGGAATGGAAAGATGGAATTGGAACTTTACCTGGAAGCAATCTTAAGGTATGCTAATGTTTATGTTTCTGCATTTTGAAGTTTCTTGCATCTGATAGCCCAGGAAACACCCAGCATCCACTCATCTTACGTTCTACAATAAATTCAGGAAAAGGCAAGATTTGATGTACAATGGGGAAATCTGAAAACTTGCACTGAATGAGAGAATATGGGTCTGCACAATTGGTGTAGATTAAAATGCAGATGTCATTGCAGTAATGTGTTATTAAAAATTGCTTTAAAAAGTGAAATAAACTGAGAAACATGTATTCTCATAAAATAAATTAACATTTTTGTGGAGAAATTTTTTTCCTAAGTCTAATACAGCAGTTAAAAAGTTATGATATTACTGAAAGAGGCTTCATTCCAAAGAGAAACTGCATTTTATATTGTGAAGTCATTCAGTTATTTTCATATTGGTTAGTATACTACTGTAATAATTCATGTATTATGTTGTAATGTAGATGGTTTTATTGTATATAATTTTCTTATTTATCTTTTAAATATTAATATGTAATTAACCAAACATTTATGTCATGTAATGAGATGATCTATTTCAGTTCCGCCTGAATGAATTTGGGATGATGGAGGTGGTAGATGATGAAGACTATGAGAAACTTCTGTCTTCCAAAAAAACTGATGGTGGGGTTAAAGATGAACCAACTGCACCAGTAAGCATTCCAGAAGTAGAAAGTGATGCAAGTGGAAAGAAAAATGATGATGAAGGAACTGATAATCAGTCAGGTGATACAAAGATATAGATACTAGCTTAAAACTGATATACAATAAGAACTGTGTTGTGATGTTTGTTCAGAGCCAGGCAAGTATATATTATAAGACAAAGCAGAGATAAATATGATAACAAATGAGAATGTTAACACAATAAATAATTGTTATTTATCATCAAGTTTAGACCATTTGTGCACCAGGATGGGTTTTATAATAACAGGATTTTTTAAACTCTTAATACCTTTTAAGCTGCTCAGTGAACATTCTGTATTGTAAGTAGTTGGGTAAATACAAATATGGAATCTTTATTTTATATGTATCCAGTGCTGACCACAAATATGTGGGATAAGAAATCAGTAAGTATATCTTGCATCAAAATCTTCAAAGTACTAGCCAATTAAATTATGTGAATATAAATTTTTAATGCTAAAGGAAACTTGTATTTCATAGAATTTTAATTTGTCACTGAAACAAATCCTCAAATATAGGCAGTTATATATTTTCCTCTTTAATCTCTGTGTTGTTTTGTTAACAGTGAGTAAGAATGTTCTTACAGCAAAGCCCACTGGAACTTCAGACGATATTTATTGCTGTGAGGGCTGTGGTTGTTATGGCCTGGCTTCAGAATTTGTGAGCTCCAGATTCTGCAGCCATACATGTGCTTCAGCATTTGCAAGTAAAAAGGCTGCGCAGAGTAAGAAAGAAAGAGATCTCCTGCAACTGAGGCTCCGCCGACGCAAGAAAAGACTTCTCCATCTCATGCAGCAGCAGTTGCAGAACACACAGCAGCAGCAGGTGAGTGCTGTAACATTAACATGCATAGGTAATTAATGTAATCACTCACAGAGAAAAAGTGTGCATGTGTATTTGAGAAATTACATATGAACAGGATTGAGGGCAAAATACATCACTCAGCATAGCCAGTCCTTTGATGTGGTTGGTTTTCAACCTGAAATATTTAGCACAAAAATCCAGCATGTTACGAATAAATTTGTTCTTCACACATAGAAGAGCTACAACCCACACTTCTGTTTGTTAGATAATGAATAATTCCAGTACAGACAGAAAGAAAGAATGTGTAATAATTTTATATTGACAATAACTTAAACATTTACCAGCAACAGGGAGATGGCGGGAAGATCCGAACGTCAGCTACGCTGTCTGCGTCTCTCCAGTCAACATCTACTGTGACATCTTCTTCTGTTCTTGTCCCTGCTTCTTCAAAGACACCAACCCTTAGTGAAGAAGAAAATATGTCCAATGATGGGACACAAGATGCAAGCAAGGTATGACAGTTCATTTCATGGTTTATACACTTAACTTATATGCTGGCCAGTTCAGTCCACGAGGCAGGAATACCCATATTTTCAAGGTCTAGAATGGAACATTATTTTAATTTTCTGTGTATTCAGTTTTTGCAGACTGTATCCCAGGCTATCAGGAACAGATTATGTGACATACAATTATTGGAGTTGGTATATTTTTCTACGTTGGGGATTCATGTTATGTAGGCCAAAGTGGACAACTTGTCAGTTCAGTATGTTTTCCTACCCATACTCCCTTTATTCTCCTGAGATCAAAAATATAATTTCCCCTAGCCAGATTGTACAGATACCCTCGAAAGTAAATAGTGACTTTTAGCTTCTGTCGTATTTTTTTTCTAGCCACGATTACCATGGCAGACTGGGAAGAGTGGTTTCTCATGGACCAAGTATTTGGAACATTGCAAGGCCAAAGCAGCACCTATAAAGTTGTTCAAAGATCCATTCCCATATTCAAAAAATGGCTTCAAAGTTGGAATGAAAATGGAAGGGATTGACCCTGAGCATCCATCCTATTATTGTGTTCTTACAGTGGCTGATGTTCAAGGTAAGCTCTGTATGTATTAGTGATCTTAAAAACATAATAAATGGAAAAAATTGCACAGGAGTTTTAAAAACTATCTTGTTTGGCAGGTTACAGAATAAGGCTTCATTTTGATGGTTATTCAGACAACTATGACTTCTGGGTGAATGCAGATTCAATGGACATATTTCCAGCGGGATGGTGTGAGAAGAATAATCATCGTCTCCATCCCCCACGAGGCTACACACCTGCCACTTTCAACTGGAGTAGCTACTTGAAGCAGTGTCGAGCTCAGGCTGCCCCACGAAATCTGTTTGCCAATAAGACTGGCAGTGTAAGTTGCAGAATTTTTATTACAGTTGTATTCTACTTTAGAGCAGGCATCAATAAGCCTGTACTTCTCATACATGGAAGGGAAAATATAAGTCAAGTGCACCTGACCAGAAATTATGCCTTTTTTATATTAATGCAAGAACTCTGTGCATACGATTTTGCCTTGTAATATTCACTTGTCATAGTAGTATAATGCTTTCTAAACAGTACTGAAATTGACGCTGTGACACATAACATTTTGGATAAATAGATTTTGATTAAATTTGATATTGTAAGTTCATACTAATATTTATTAATCAAATGCAACTTACTTAACAAAATACAAACGTGCTTTTGAACTAAGTACATTTATAATAACTTTAATATTTAGTGTTTTAATAAACATTGACTACACTTTATTTCAGACAGAACTTATAGTCTTTTTTCGTAAAGCAAATATTTTACACTGTGTGTATTCTCTTGTAGTTTTCATAGTTCATTTAATGATGCTGTCAGTAGCTCAAACTATATAGCATCAAATGTTAAGATGATTAATGTGTGATGAATTAGAAAGGATGTGGAAGGAAATGCCTAATTCAAGGCACTATGGATACAGTTACTTAATGGGCCTCACAGAGTATATGCCTCTGCATTTCACCTGAAGATGCTGACACATCCAGTCTCCAGAACATACTTTTATTCAGAAAGTATATGATTTCCAAATGAAATATTCCCATAACAATGTTACTACATGTCTTGTATCTGTCCTGCAGTCCATCTGTCCAAATGGTTTCCGCCTGGGAATGAAACTTGAGGCTGTGGACCGGAAGAACTCTTCACTAGTGTGTGTTGCAACAGTGGCAGAACTGATGGATAACAGAATTCTAGTTCATTTTGACAGTTGGGATGATATATATGACTACTGGGCTGATCCAATGTCCCCATATATTCATCCTGTGGGCTGGTGTGAAGAACACGGACATACACTTACACCACCAAATAGTAAGTATAATCATTGTCCTTCATAGCATTGGACCTAATACACTTGTTGTCATTTATGTTTTGTGTATAAACATCCCTTTATCTGTTGGTACAATTATATTTAAATGATTTTCATAATTTATTTTCCATTCAGACACATTTATTAATTAGGTCTACCTAACTGTGTGTGTACTCCATATTGCCACCCTGGATTGAAATGAACACAAAATCACCTCTTTCACATCTTAAATTTAGCTTTATATTGTAGATTACAGCAAAGGTGGAAGTAACAGAGCTTTCTCATGGGAAACTTACCTTAAAGAGACCAAGTCTGTAGCTGCTCCGGCACGAGCATTTAAACAGCGTCCGCTGAGTGGTTTTCGTCGTGGTATGAAGCTAGAGTGTGTTGACAAGCGAGTTCCTATGCTCATTCGGGTGGCAACAGTGGATGATGTTGGAGAACACCAGATCAGGATAAAGTTTGATGGTTGGCCAGACCAATACAGCTACTGGATAGATGATGATAGTCCTGACATTAATCCTATGGGATGGTGTCAGAAGACTGGACATCCCCTGGAACCACCATTAAGTAAGACTATTTTCTATCAAGATTTCTGTCTTCTGGGTTGTTGCGCTGTGTACTCTGGTCGATGTTTACCAACGTTTCAGAGGTCATACTGCCTCCGTTGATCGCCCTGATGACGGAGGAATTGTGATCTGTGGTTTAATTGTTTAGTGGTATGCTGCTGCATTACATAGCCAGCTGGACTGCGTATGCCATAACAGTCAAATTAATATGTTGTCATATACAATATTTTTAGTGAAAACTTTGCTGTTTCTGTAAATTTACTTCAGCCTCACTCTCAAGGATTATAGTACTTTGAAACTGTTCTTTGACTTTGTTCTTGTTGAAACAATCTATAAGAAAACAATGATTATAGTACAAATCCCATCATAAATCTAGCCTTAGGGAATTATCACAAAAGGAAATTAAAACTCTTGTCTTTTTGTGTACTTCAGCCAGAATTATCTGAATATACCATATTTTAAGTAATGTCACAAACTCGTATTAAACAGGATTATACCCACACTTCATAAAGTAAAAAAATATACAATATCCATAACACAGATCTCCTACTGAAACTGTTCTGCTTCCTTTTGTACTGAAGTCCTGTGAAACCAAGGAACATATTGCAAGTTACTACTCTTATGGCCCTTGTACACATTTTGCCATCTGGTGTGATTTCTGAGAATTTTTATATTGACTATGCTAGGTTATTTAGCAAATGCTCTGTGCAGGGTCTGTGCCCATATCCCCTCTGTGAGAGCATTAAAGTTCCACTCAAAATACTTGGACCTTTGAGAAATTGTGATGTAGAGTTACAGCACTCAAGAGGTTAAGTGTTTTAGTGTAACTGTATGATGGACTGGCTTTTGCCTACAGCTCCAGAAGAAATGGTAGAAACACCTGAATGTCCAACACCTGGTTGTCGTGGACTTGGACATGTAAAAGGTGCCAAGTATGTGAGTCATCACACTACAATAAGCTGTCCGTATTCTCCCCAGAACCTCAATAAGGACGGTCTTATTCCAGATAGGATTCTCAGTAAAACAGACCAAGGAGAAAGCAAGGAAGAAACAATATCCAAAGAGAGAAGGTGAGTACAGCAAGTTCCCTATGCTGTTTACTTTTCTTCTGGAGATGTCTTTAAAAGGTAAATTTGGTGTTTGGTACTAACCGACTTATTTTAAACCACAATGGAAGACGCATATGGTATATTTCACTGTCTGCACATCTCACACTATTTGAAGCTTTGAATTGGTAAAGTTATCAAACGATGAATTAAAATCGTTAGCAGCAGTAAGTCAGTTCATCAGCACTTCATCACAATTATTTTCACTTTCAGGCATTTTCTGTCTGTCTGTCTGTCTGTTATGTATTTCAGCTGCACTTCCCAAACTATCTGTTCAGACATTATTTGAGTTTTAAGATGGAAATTTTTACATTTTTTATAACATAATTATTTTAACATTATTTCCAAATATATTCAGCCATAATACAGTTATAATTGGATTATGCTGGATCTGAACAAACATCATCTGTTTCCCTGCTTACAAAAATGATGCCTTAATTAGCACAGTTATTCAGAAAATTAGAAGACGATTATAAAAATTTGTCACATAAGTTCGCACTTGGAAAAAATTGCCTATGGTTTTTAGCTAAGTGTAAATTATTACCAAAAATTTTTAATTGTACACATACTGCAGAATTTTAAATTTCAATTTCTTGAATTCTGTTGTTATAAATAAATTTTAAAACATTCAGAATTTTTAATTGCATTAATAGTAATTCATTTTGTACCTTACCTATCAGATGTGAGGAACACCTTTGGCTATACAATGTATTCTGCGGAGTACGCCTGTTTGATTTTATTTATTGCATATGTATTTCTTTTTAGTGCATGTTTGTTATACATTCCTATTTATTATATTTCCCACATCTGTACCTTAAGATTACTTGTTGCTTTTGTGTAATATATAGCAAGATTTCCTAATTAAAATTAAAAATTTTGCAGTTAGCCAACATAAAAGTGCTGATTTTAGCTTGACTGGTGCAATATATGTGAATTTTAATATAGCAAAATTATCATATATCTGAAAGTGTGGCTCTAGGAAAATGTAATAAACAAGTCTGGTGTAATTTGTATGGTACTCATAGAAGATGATTCTTTAGGATCAAAATACATGTGGAATAAAATAACAAGAATAATGGAAATGTTGCCAATTGAAATTATAGTACCGTCCCAGTTTTTTACCACCAGTAACATCAATGTGGCAAATGGCGGGCTTCTGAAGTGGGACCACTACCAGTGACATTCTTTATAATTCTATAAGAAGTTTACCAAGTTCACACTATACAAGGGACTTGTTAGATTAATTAAAATGTGCATGCATGAGTTATGTAGTAATCTGTATGCAGTTAAATGGCTTAAACAGGTAACTTACTTGTGTGTGTATGCTGATGACATCAGTTCATTAACTTGATTTTCAAAAAGTCTCATTTCATAACAAAGACAAGAGTATTTTTGTTTCTGCTTACGTATGAGAAAAACAAAATTCATTTCTAACAAATTTTCAAAATACTCTGGTATAGAAGAATAATCCAGAGTGGTGGTTTGATGAGAAGTATCACTGGATTGATTTGCTGGTGAAGACTGTCAAGAGTGTGATTTTATAGACTAGCAAAGAAATGTTGATATTTTAGAACTAAATACAGATACATTTTAATATGTAGCAAACCTGCTGAGGGTAAGAACCCTGTTGGGAGACCACCTAAGTGGCGACGTATTGAGTTAGCTGAAGACCCAAAGGCTGTATCACAAGATCCTGATTGGAAGCTATATGATGAGGATAGCAGTGAAAGGCGGAGAAAGAAAAGGTAATAAGTTCAATGTATACAAAACCTTTTAAACTGTTCTCTGAATGTCTTTAGCAGTGATATTATATTACTACTTTCTTTATTTTGGACTTTGCCCCTCATGTGTTTAACTTCTTTATTTTAGATTTTGGCCATCATCTGTTGAAAGTTTTTTTAAAAAGTCTTAAAAAATCAACATTTGAAAGGAAGATCCATGCTTTGAAATGTTGTGATTTTAAGACTTTTTAGAACACTATCAGATAATGATTAAAGTCCAAAATGAAGAAAGTAATTGCCTTTTAGACTGTCATATTATATGTGCAGAGACAGAAATTCCTGATGTTGATTAAATTAATGTAAACT